GTCCCTGCCCTGTGGCTCACACATCTTAAGGGCAAGTGGAGAAAAAGGGATCTACAAGTCGTGTAGGTCCTGCATCAGCTGGGAACAGAGCTCAAAGTAGTAGCATCCATGTCAGACAGAGGCGGCACCTTCACAGACCATGGCCAAAGAAGGTGCCCCTTGCACAAACATCTGAAGAGTTGAACAAAAAAGCCATGTGGATTTTTAGGGTCCGGGCCTTCCAGGCAGAGATAGCAAAAAGGCAGGTTCCAATAGGGCTCATGGCCGGAATGTTCCAGAAAGAGCAAGGAAGCCAGTATGGCTGGAGCCAAGGCAACAAGGAGGAGGCTCGCAATGGGAAAGGAGGTCAGAGACAAAACATGGCCATGTCACACAGAGCCCCAGGTCAGGGTGAGGACCGTGACTTTCATTCTTGATGAGGCAGGCAGCCAATCGAGGGAGCCAACAAAAGACAGATGCGGCCTACCTTATGAGGTGCTTGTTTTTGGTTTCTTTTAAACTGTTTCTTTAATAAATTCGTGAAAATCTGTTTATCCAACCCGCCAGGCACACAGCTAAGAATATCTACCTCACTGTGATTATGAATAATGGTGATTATGTGAGAAACACAAGGACTTCACAGCACAGAGGTGCGCTGCCCGGAACTAACCATCTGGAGCTGTCCAAGTCTTCCGGCAGTTTGTGATGGCAACATCAAGAGCTCACTGTGACAAATAACCCTGCTGGAACACAACGTTGTACTTGCGCTTCAGGGGGACCCAGTCTGGTGCTACCCTAAGAGACTGAAGTGAAGTGAGGGTAGACACGGAGACAGTAGTCAGGAGGCCATTTCAATAATCCAGGTGAGCTGTGGTGGTGCCCTGGGCCCCGCATTTGGCCCTCTATCTGTTTTTGCAAATAAAGTTTTATTGAAACACAGCCATGCTCATTATATATTGTCTACGGCTGCTTTTGTGCTACGGGGGCTGAAACAAATAGTTGTTGACGGAGACTGTACGGCCTGCAAAACCGGAAATATTTACTACCCGGCCCTTTACAGAACATTTACTGACCCCTGATCTAGAAGATGAGATCAAAAGAAGAGGTACTGTTGTAGGCTTAAGCAACTAGAAAGAAATGAGGTGCCATTTATTGAGATGGGATTCTAGGAGATCAGATGAGAGAAAATACCAGACACTCAATTTCAGACGTGGTAACTGTGAGATGCTTCTCAGACGATGTAGGAGTCTGAGGCTCAGGGAACAGTTCCGGGCTGGAGAAATCAACCTTGGAACCAGCAGCATAGAGACAGTAATTAAAGCTGAGAAACCAGATAAAATCAGTAAGGGAATTAACACAGATGGAGGGGGCAACAGCGTGAAATACTGAGCCCTAGACCCCTGACACTTACACGTCAGAGAAATGAAACAGAACCATACGAGCAGCAAGAAGAAACAGAGACAGGATGAAAGCCATGAGAATGCAGAGCTCTGGAAGCCAAGAGAAGAAAGTGTTTCAAGAAGAGGACCAGGGGCGCCTGGGTGGCTCAGTGGGTTAAGCTGCTGCCTTTGGCTTAGGTCATGATCCCAGGGTCCTGGGATCGAGCCCCGCATCGGGCTCTCTGCACAGCGGGGAGCCTGCTTCCCTTCCTCTCTCTCTGCCTGCCTTTCTGCCTACTTGTGATCTCTCTGTCAAATAAATAAATAAAATCTTTGAAAAAAAAAAAAAGAAGAGGACCAAAGCCCCATCCATTGAGGCTGAGACGATGACTCAGAGCAGACCGCAGGAGGCCTCACTCGGCTGGATTCGAATCAGCAGTGGGTGCAAGGACAGACGAAGGAGACAGAGGCTAGACAAGTCGCTCCGGAAGTTCTGTTGTGATGCAGAGCCAGTGGGGTGGAAGCTGGCAGGGGAAATGAGATCGGAAGAGTTCCTTTTTATGTATTCCCATGATGGGAGAAGGAACAGCATGTATAATGACTGCTAAAAAAAAATAAAAGTTTTCCACTTGAGGTAGAAAACCTGACGAAGCAGGAAAGATGGGAAGTGCTGGAGCAATGGCTCTGAGTAGGACAGAGGAGGTGGGATCTGGGGACAGAATTCAGTAAGGGGGGGGGGGGACAGTTCAAGCTTAACAAGAACTGGCCACTCATACAAGCAGGTAGGAGGATGCGACGATGGGGATCTTACGGAGATTCTCGTTCACCTGTGTCTGTTTTCTCCATGAAACAGGAAGGCAGGCCCTGAGCCCAGAGCTGCACGGAGAACGAGGTGCTGCCCACCGAAGGAGGGCAGACCTGGGAGGGGGAGAGTAAACTGGAAATATGCTCTAACTCCCTGTGAGAGTGCGTGACCACAAATCTGAAATGAGACAAACAGCATGGTTCTGGATTTTTCTCTAGTCTTGTTCCACGGCATGAGACAGCAAGAAGCCAGGAAATGGGATCTGAAACCAGAAGCACAGACTGGGGCGCCTGGCTGGCTCAGTCAGTAGAGCATGGAACTCTTGATCTCAGGGTTGTGAGTTCAAGCCCCACATTGGGTGCAGAGTTTGATTAAAAATAATATCTTTACAGGCACTTGGGTTCCTCAGTCAGTTAAGCATCTGACTCTTGATTTCAGCTCAGGTCATGGTCTCAAGGTCGTGAGGTAGAGCCCTGCATTGGGCTCTGCACTCAACAAGGAATCTACTTGGGATTCTCTCTCTCTCTCCCTCCGCCCCTCCCTCTGCCTATGTATGCACCTGCAGTCTCTCTCTCAAATAAATAAATAAATCTTATAAATAAATAAATGGATGAATTAATGAATAAAATCTTTATAGAGAAAACCTAACAACTAGGAGCATGGTTTAACCAAGGAAATAAGACAAAACGAGAGGGAGGCAAGAGAGAGGAGTGCAATGAGTGACCGTGGAATTTAAATGGGGCAAGGAGGGAAGTGGGGACCCCAGGGGAGAAGAAGTGAAGAAAGTGGCATAGAGGGGGGAGCCAAAAAGCTGAAGGTGGGGCTCAGGAAGTCACTGAGATGGAAGGTCTAGAGCACGACCATGGCCATAAGTGGCTGTTGTCAGATGTAAGGCAATGTCACTAAGGGAAAGCAGTGCAAAAAAGTGAGAGGGCAGAGTCCTGGAAGGTCATCCACATGGCTACTAAAGTCACCATGAATCACGATACAGGCAGTGCTGAGGAGAGAGTGGACCACACAAGGCAGGGAGAGTGGGGTCAGGGGACAGCTGTGACAAGGACAGGAGTGGGGAACACAGTCTGATGACACAAGGTTCAAATCAATGTGTTCTTAGAGTGGAGGAAGACTGGTCTAGAAGAAGAAATGAGAAAGCAACAGAGGAGGGGTATAAATTCAGGAGAGCCCCAAGGGGAAGGACTGTCCACAGAGAAGGAATCTGCCAGGGACTGACCGTGAGCATTTCAGAGCTGGAGGTGGGGGAAGAGAGGTGTATATAGCAAGCCATACAGAAAGGAGAGACCGAGAAGCAAGGGATGAGGACCTGGGAGTCTCGGTGGCTGACAAGCAGGACAGGGCACAGGTCGTGATGATTCCTGGTAGTCCCAAAGGGGCATGGTGCTGTGAGCAGATGCAGTGAGCAAGACACACACGAGCTCGGGTCTCCGGTCTGCCCACCACTGATGCGGTGCGCTCTAGGCCCCTCCCCACCCCACTAGCTCTCCCCCAACAATCTCCAGCATTCCAGGTGGGATCTGGCCATGGTAAGACAAACGACACTGATGGAAGCACTGTTTCTAAGGAAAAGGTAAAAACCCAACCAGAATCCCAAGCCCATCCCCTACCAGAAGACCATCACAGCTTCTCAGAGGTGTACAGGAAGACCCTTCAGGCAAAGGCATTTTTTAATTACTAACTGATGATGTGGCCTAAACATCTCTCACTTTTACAATCAACAGAAGGATGGATAAGCATTTATATTTACATGGAGGAACGGTCCACAGTGGCGCCTCACAAGAGCTATGGCAACAGAAACTCGGCAAATGCTTTTAAATGACGAGTTACCCGGTTCAGAAAGACGGATTATGCAGAAGGCAATGAAGGGAGTGCATTACATGACTGTAAGAACGAACAATCATATTAAATAATAAATAAAATAATAATAATAATAATAATAATATTTTAAAATATAAAATAAAATAATAAAACAATCATGTCAACAATCATCATTATTCAATGACATGGTGATGAATGCAGATCTGAACGCACCTGCTTTTTCAAAATTAGAATCCCAATTATAATACTCATTATAATGGTAATAATTCTTAGGCTCAGTAGAAAAGTTCACTTGATAAAAGACAGATATTTTCAAATATACAGTATGCATCAATATCACTGTTTTCCAACAAAGGCAGTCGTGGATATCAACTGTGAGCCCATTAATTATAAAGAAAGAAGTTTTCACATTAATTAACTGTCAATGAGATAGCTCTAAAACATCCCGCCATGTAAACTTTTATACCCTGAAAGTTCAGAGAAAGACTTACAAGACAATGTAAAATGGAGCCAAAGTAATGAAATGTAAAATGAAGTAAAATGAAGACAAAGTAAATAAGAAGGAAATTCATATTTCGAGGTTTGTTATTTTGGCTGTTATTCTAATCTTGCATTTTCAGATGATTTTATCATAAAAGAAAAGCACCAACCAAACTCATAAAATCAGCTGAGCCAAATTAAGCCTTAATGGCTTTGCCATCAGAGACGAAGACCTGAGCCGCCTGTATGAAACAAATGACAAAAGTTATGGAAAGGAAAACAATTAGTTTTAACAGATGACCATCAAAATGAACAGAGATGAACAAAACACGATATAATGATCTTAATCTTTTAAACTACTCCTTGCAGAATTTTTGTTTTGTTTTGTTTTTTGCTTGCAGGATATTAAAAAGTTGCTGTCCTCAATTCATTTCACCCTGCTGTGAAAATGTCACCATCGCAAGCTTCCTAGAAAGCTATGACGGAGATTATAAACGTGGCCCATGTAAGAGAGTAAGGCTTACCTGATGCACCTATTGGGGAGGTAGCTGGGGTCATGTTGTGGACACTGAGACCAAGGCTCTGGGAGGGGCCTGGGGCTGATGCTGCTATGGGAGGCCCCAGAGGGTTCTCCCTCTGGGGCGAGGTGAGCGGGGTGGTCGGCTGGGAGGTCTGTCCACCAGCAAGTCGTGCAAGGCGCCTCCGTCGGATCTACAAGAGGGGAGAAAAGACATTCTGTAACTCAACCGTAGAAACGTAGTTCTGCCCCAGGACAACATTAAGGCTGTCAGTAAGCATCGAAAACCAGGCTGGCGCTTAGCGGCCAAACAGGTCTTGAGAAAAAAGGGCTCATTCAAAACAAGTAATAACTTGGCATACCAGTACCTTCACTGACTACCACCTCGCTTTTTAAAAACTGCATTTCATTGCCTTATGATCCCCATTTATCACACTTTCTTAAGTGATAGCGTGAATCTGCCACAAGCATACTACACTTTTAAACACACCGAAGCTTGTTATTTAAATAAAACCACGTAACTCGATTATTTCAAAATAGGTCAGTTGTTTGGGGGGAGGTTTTTTGGGTTTGTTTTTGTTTTTTAAGAGAGGGAGAGAGAAAGAGAGAAGGGGGAGGGGGAAAGGGCAAAGGGAGAAGGAGATAGAATTCCAAAAAAGCGCCACACCAATGCAGAGGCCAATGCAGGGCTTGATTTCATGGCCCTTGAGATCATGACCTGAGCAGAAGTCAAGAGTCAGATACTCAACCGACTGAGCCACCCAGGCTCCCCTAAACAGGTGAGATTTTAAATAAATACCCAATTTATTTATTATTATTATTTTTGAGAGAGAGACACAGTGACAGAGGGAACAGAAGCAGGGGAACCAGGAGAGGAAGAAGCAGGCTTCCCACGGAGCAGGGAGCCTGATGCGGGGCTCGATCCCAGGACTCTGGAATCAGGCCCTGATCTGAAGGCAGACGCTTTAATGACTGAACCACCCAGGCGCCTCATAAATACCCAATTTAATTTACTAAAGCAAAAGTAACAAACATTACACTAAGACACAAATTTTGTCCTCACTTTCAGGAGCAAAACAATTCAATTTTTCTTACTTAATTGCAATAAAAATATAATCCGCTACTTCTTCCCTATAATAATATCCCAGAGTTATCCAGCGATTAAAATATTTGCCACAAAATCCCAGTGGGTTCCGAAAATGCTTCCCTCACATTTTGATAATCATTAATTTACAACCAGGCAATAAACTCTCACTGACCACCTGCTGTCCCATGCAGTGAGGACATCTAACTACTGTGATAAGCTTCTGGCTCTACGCAGCCATCCAAGAAGCAAACCAACTAGGCTGCTACACTCATTTCATCACTAAAAAGGGAGATGAAAAGGTCAACCTACGACAGTGCTGACCGGGACGGACCGCACCTGAGCTAAGTATCTGTCATCCTGACACTGCAGACAACCTGCTCCTTCTGTTGTTCAGACAACCGAGGACACCCTGATTCTTTTTTTTTTTTTTAAGATTTTATTTATTTATTTGACAGAGATCACAAGAAGGCAGAGAGGCAGGCAGAGAGAGAGGGGGAAACAGGCTCCCTGCTGAGCAGACAGCCCGATGCGGGGCTCGATCCCAGGACCCTGAGATCATGACCTGAGCCAAAGGCTGAGGCTTAACCCGCTGAGCCACTCAGGCACCCCAGACATTCTGATTCTTGACCCCAAAGTTGAGGAGCCCATTCCTATGTCCCAGCTGCAAATACACCTATCAATGAACTTCCACAAAATCCTGAAGTTGTCTGGTTGTTCATCTATCTACTTCATTATATTAAATCCCTTGAAGGAAAGATTAGGTCTTACTGATTAAAAATAAACATTGAGAGACGCCCGGATGGCTCCGTTGGTTAGGCATGCGACTTGATCTCAGAGTTGGGAGTTCAAGCCCCATGCTGGGGGAAGAGATTACAAATCAAAAAAATAAATAAAAAATCGGGGCACCTGGGTGGCTCAGTGGGTTAAGCCTCTGCCTTCGGCTCAGGTCATGATCTCAGGGTCCTGGGATCGAGCCCCGCTTCGGGCTCTCTGCTCAGTGGGGAGCCTGCTTCCCCCTCTTTCTCTGCCTACCTCTCTGCCTACTTGTGACCTCTCTCTCTGTCAAATAAATAAATAAAATCTTTAAGAAAAATTAATAAAAAATAAAAAATAAACTGAAAAAATAAAATTAAAATAAACACTGACATAGCACTTTGTCTTCTGGCAATGTTCTCAACACTTTATAAAGCCAAACTCATTTAATCCTTATAATGAGCTTTTGTGTGCACTTATGCCCATTTTACATCTGGGCAAACTGAGGCACAGAGGTTACATCCTTGCTTAATTAGTAAGTGGCAGAGCTGGAATGTGAGCCCACACTATGTGGCTGCACAGCCTGTGCCCTCACCACTACTCCAATAGTCTGGGGATTTCTGGGGATCTCCGAGACCCTTACAAGAGGGCATTCTGAGGCCAAAGCTATTTTTACAATATCACTAAGACATCTGCCTCTTTTGCTCTCATTCTCAATGGTCCAGTGGAGTTTTCCAGAGACCATGTGACATGTCATATTGCAACAACTTAAATACAGAATTTAATATGAGAATTCAGCTGTATTCTAGTAAACTGGACATTTAAAAGACTTGCAGAAGTGAGGATAACATCAACCTTTCTCACTAAATATGTTTGTTTAGGGGTGCCTGGGTGGCTCAGTTGGCTAAGTGACTGGCTTCAGCTCAGGTGATGATCCTGGAGTCCCCAGACCAAGTCCCGCATTGGGCTCCCAGCTCCACGGGAAGTCTGCTTCTCCCTCTGACCTTCTCCCCTCTCATGCTCTCTCTCTCTCAAATAAATAAATAAAATCATTTAAAAAAAATATGCTTGTTTTGGAAAATGTGGTCTTTTCATTAGAGATACATTATTTACATTAACATACAATGTTTTTATTATTTTTTAGTTTTCTCACTTTTTATTTCTATTATGGCAAATTCAATGGATAGAACCCACCTGAACAAAAGCTCCTTGAGATCTTCACCGTTTCCTAAGAGTGTAAAGGAGTCCTGAGGCCAAATCTCTGAGAATCAGGAGGCCCTCTAGTCTTCATCCTTATCTCCCTACTGTCAAGCCCCACACCTGCTCTGTTAACAGATGAAAGAAATTCCTGAAGTGTTTCTCTCATGAACACTTAACCTGGGGTAGAGGGTGGGGAACATGGCCCAGAAATTTCCGATCCAATTACTCAAGCCACAGACCCAGGATTTGTGTTTACTGCTTCCTCGCTTCCCTTCCTCTCCTCAAACACCCAGTTTGTCACCAAGCTCTGCTCCTTCAACCTGGGTCCACCCTCTCCCCTCAGCTCCTCAGCCACCACCCTACCTAGGCCACCACGCTTTCCCACCAGGCCCTCTGCCAAAGGGCCCAAGGAATCCATGTCCGCTCTGGCCTGGTCAAAGCAAAGGCTCCACATTCCTTTCTTTAAAGACTTTCAAAGTTTCAGATTTCGGAAATGAATGCAAATCAAACCACGGTGAAGATAACACCTCATACCCATGAAGACGGCTGCCATGGAAAAAAACAGAAAATAACAAGTGTTCGTGAGGACGTGAAGACACTGGAGCCCTCATGCACCAGTGGTGGGAATGTCAAGTGGTGCAGCCACTTTTTAAACAGTTGGGTGGGTCTTCAAAAAATTAAGACCAGAATTACCATAGGAGCCGGTAATTCCACTACTAGGAAGTACCCAAGAAAACTGAAATCAGGGACTCAAACAGGGAGCTATTCCCCCAGGTTCACAGCAGCTCTGTCAGTAAGAGCAACCCAGTGTCCATCCGCGGGTCAACAAAATGTGGCACACAGGCACAACGGAACAGTACTCAGCCTTAAAACGGATGTCCTGACACGTGTGGCAACACAGATGCACCTTGAGGACATGAGGCTATGTGGGATCGGCTAGTGACAAAAAGGCAAACACGGTATGATTCCACTTACAAGGTATCCAGAGTAGCCAAATTCACAGAGACAGAAAGTAAAATAGTAGTTGCCAAGGGCTGGGGCGATTTTCAAAATCTAAGTATAGAATAAAATCCTAAGTGGTAAGAAAGCATGTTATCCAACTTTTTCCTACAATCTCTTCTCCATGCAGCCATCACAGTAATTCTTTAAAAACACACACCACCCTCCCCTGCTCAAACCATTCAACGGCTTCCCACTGCACTTGGAATAAAAACCAAGTCATCACCATGTCCTGGGGAGCCCCTGGAGGTCTCTCCAGGCTCACGGTAAACCACACGAGGCACCAGCCACACCGGCCCCATCGTTAGCCCTCGTTTACCTTCAGCCACTTGCAATTCCTTAAGCCTAGACACAATTTTCTAATTCTTGGCATGGCTGGTTCTTTCTCTTCCTTCCATTCTCAGCTTAAGTATCACCTCCTCTTAGAGGACTTCCCTGATCACTTACTTACCTAGCATGATCCTTCCCTCCACATGCACTGATGCTGTAGCCTTCTGATCACACGCTCCAAGCACTCTGCAAGGTCTATAATTACATTATCTATTTCTTTTGGTTTTTCCAAGATTTATTCATTTGAGAGAGAGGGCGTGCATGCCCATGCACCTGTGGTGGGGGGCAGAGGGAGAGGGACAAGCAGACTCCATGCTGAGCGTGAAGCCCCATGTGGGGCTTGATCCCATGACCCCGAGATCATGACCTGAACTGAAACCGAGCTGGATGCTTAACAACGGAGCCATCGAGGGGCCCCTGTCATTACATTATCTATTTCTTACTGTCTTGCTTACTATCTGTTTCCTTATTAGAATGGAAGCACCATGAGAAAAGCACGTCTGTGTTGTTTTCACGGATATATCTCCAGCACCGAGCACAGTGCCAGGCACATAACAGGTCTGTACATACTGAACAATGGGAAAAAAGAATACATCGAATCAAAACAGACGAAGTATTCAAGCCACACAGAAGGATGTTTAACTGAACAGTCAAAGCTCAGACAGAGTTTCCAACGTCTGACATTGACTCCTCTTCAGACAGCCACTCATTCAACAAATAAAATACTCATCAAGTACAGGAGAGTAAACTAAGAGTTTCTGCTCTCGTGGCGCTCAGATTTTAGCAGAGGCCAAAAGGACAAGAGCCAAGCGGGCAAAAAGAATG